TAAAACAGGGGTTCTCAAGCCCTGTTCTCAAGAGCTACTATCCTACAACTTTTTGATATACCCCATTTTTAACACGCCAGAATAAAATGAGTTGTACGTTACCATGACTCTGCTGAGCCAAATGAGAGGATTGAGCCTTTAGATTCAGGTAAATTAGAGAAGTTACAGGATGGTAGCTCTTGGACTGGATTTGAGCACCCCTGATCTAAAATATACACTGTAGATGCAGCTGCAACTAACAATTATTTTACTAATCAATTGATCTGCTGATTTTATTTATTTTTAATTAATAATGGGCAGAAAAACATGCCTTAAGGAATATTTTATTTGTAATTTAAACATGTTATAGCTCAAACTTTGCCACTTGAGGAGTTCTGGGTGAATCATATTCACGGACAAAAGGGTTTTTATTATTTTAAATCTAATTGTAATATGTATAATTTAGATTTTAAAAGGTGTATGATTTTGGTTTGACTACTGCTCTTAGGTGTCAGCTAATGTTTGTATACACTTATTAAGTTAAATGTTAACAACATTTCACAATTATTTCAATAATTGATTATGCTGATTTGACACCAAATGCACTTTGAGAAGCAAACAAGTGTCTAAAGCTTTGATGCTTGTCTGCAGATGTACGTCAAGGGCATTTCTCCCTCCCTTATGTTGATTTCGAAATTATATTGTTTCGACCAAAGATGAGAACTATATCGTGATATAGGTTTTTGCAATTTCATCAAACCTTAGCTATACCTAAATATGATGCTGACCTCGTTCTTTATTAATTTATTTGTTTATACTCATATTTGTTCGTATTCCTCATCCAGCCCTGAGTTTATGATTTTCTTTATCATTCATGTTATAGTAATGCTGCAGAGGGTGACGTGTAATCATATAAAAACTAAATGCATTTGCCAAGTATACAGTTTAAATTAAATTTAAATATAGAAAACATTGTATCTATAATTAGTTTTGAATAAATAAAAAGTTAGATTTTAGGTTTTGGTGGATGAATGGTCCAGAGGGGAGCTTTCTGTTATATTTTAAGATGTAACGTAGGATAACAAAACATGAATAACGGAGATATCATTAAAGTCTCTAATGCTCAGAGAACAGACTCTGTTGTAAAATATTTGATTATGAAATAAAAATATATACTAATAAAAAAAACAACTGAAAAGATGTAGTAAAATGTTTCTTCTTTCATCTTGTTCAACATATAGGGACAGTCAATTAGGGCTTTATCTGCTGTTGTCCAGTTCCTGATGGCTCTATTTGTTCTGTCAGCCCCCACCCAACAAAATTATGTAGCACTATGTAAATATCTAAAACTGGATTTTATTTATTTATTTTTTTTGTTAAATTTTGGTGGTTTGTAAATTATTTAGAAAGAAAATGTTTAAAAAGTTAACTTTAAATTTTGAGCTGACCAGGAGTAGTAAAGGGTCAGAGTTCAGGGTCAGAGGAAATGCAAAGGAAAAAATAGAGCTACAATAAAAACATATTTTCTTTTTTTAATACAGGGCTATTAAATTAGCCTGAATCCTTTTGGTAAAGCAAATTATGTAATAGATGAATAAACAGGGAGATAGCTTAACCCTCCTAATGTAACAAAACAATTACTTGTGTGAATTCGGGAATCTGCCATTACTGCACACACACACAATGCTCATACAAGCAGTTTTATCTTAAACAGATTAACATTAGCCGCTCTAAACATAATTTCAACGTGCAAATTCAGAACCATGAGACCAGAATAAGTGACACACATACATGCAGGAATAAAGGAAATCCCACCTTTTGAGAAAGTGCAGTTTTCTTTCTACGTTTGGCTTGTAATGTTGGCAAAGCATGCTCAGATTAATTGCTGCTCTTTTATAGAGTTAAGCCTCTGTTCAGTGAAATCATTAAGTAACTTGGTTAAACACTTAAACACTGAATGTGTCTTGGCAGCAGTAGCTGTATGCTTTAAAATTTGTGATTGTTAAACTTGAAACCTCATATCAGCTAAGCTAACCTTTGTTTTAGTTTCTATATTGAGGAAAGTTAGGCTAGGGACACATGTTTTTAGTTGAATACAGACAAAATCACTTTGCATCTTGATGACATATTATTGACAGAGATGGCTGCTCATATGTAGTCAGATAAAACTATTACAGAGCAATGATTAGCCTGCGTAGGCTTCTTTAGACTAATCTCCACAATACATTATAGACTCATTATCAGGTTATCCACCACCCTGGTATAAACTCCATGAAAGCTATAAAAGTGTAGGAAACCTCAGTTTATTTAAATCAAGAACAAAACCTTATTTGTTTAGAATGGCCTTTGACTGCTATCTACATGATATTAAGTTCCTAGTCTAACTTTTGTTCCATTTTCTTAATTATTTAAAAAATTTTTTTTAAACATCAGTCATTTTATCTTTTTACAAAAATGTATATTCCACCTATTGTATCACTTATATTCTCTTTAATGATTCATGTTTCCTCTATCCCAATTTAATCTACGTGTGTCTCCTAATTAAGGGGCAACATCCTCAATGTAACCTCAAAACCAATAAAGGCTGGAAGCTGTCTAGCAACTGTGACATGAGGCACAGACCTACACAGTCTAAACATGATCTGTTTTTAATATGAATGTATAAACTTTCATACATTATTTAGATGAAAGGGTAGCGCTGCTACTATTCAATATTTTTGTGATTTTTTTTTTTTGTTTTGTTTTATTAATCAAATGATTCTCTAATGGCAAAAAGCTTCTGAAAGAAGGCTTCATACAGAATTTAAACCAGTTCAAGCTAATAGTGGTCTGACGGACTACAATGGTTCATCTTGAATGCAGAACGTTGATACTTTTTTAGTTTTTTTCAATATTGGTATGATTACTCTGAGTGGGTGGCTTTTTCAGCTAATAGCAATAGTCTCTATTCTCCAGATAAATAATGATATCTTAATAAATGAGTTTATTGTTATTCCAATAATTTGTTAATCGTGATTAATCCGATTAAATGTTTTAGCCCTAATGAGGGATGTTTATTTTTGTTAATCAGGGAGGTCAACAAACAGGACATGATTTCACCATTTTGTGTTCTGATAATTTTCCAAGAACTAAAGAAAAAAGCTGTTTCTCTTGAAATATATCAGCCTAGGGGAATTTTTAAATAATTTGTATAGAAGGTGTTTGAGTACAACCAGATTTATAAATATTTTTAACACAATGTATCGAAAATAAAATGAATCATTTCAGATGATTCTCAACAACTTGTTTAGATTATTTAATTATTTTCGGAACTGTAGCAGATGTAGTGTTTCTGCATGCATGTTAAGATGAGCTACAGTAATTATTAATCTCATACCTCCTCCAGAGTTGAATAAAATGATCTCATCCTTAAGCTTAACTTTAATTTCAGCACCAATTCATTAAACAACATAAAAGTTTTTAATGAGCCAAACATGAGCATATCGATATCATGTAAATCGGTTATATGTTCAGCCTCCATCCAGAGGTCTAACCCAGGAGTAGGTTCAAAGCATTACCCAGAAGACCTCCTGGTTGGGTCACAGCCAACAACTCCTTTTATAAATTAAGTATGAACTTATTAATCAGAGTAGATATGTTTACTAATCTAAAAGCTTGTGTCCAAAAATCCTAAAGGTTTATTTTGGGTTCTAGAAAGTGTATTATTTAGTATTTACAGTTTTGCCACTGCTGCCCGAGTTTGACCAACCTGCTCTGACCTGCACTGGATTATGTTAAATGATGCTATGAAGGGAACTCCTGATGGATCCTTCATATTGGCCCAGTGACACATTCATCGGCTACATTGAAGGTTTTGCGGATAATGCCTTTTGCCCTGCGCTGTGATCATTCCAAAAATGTGACCTTTGGAGGATGCAGCCAATAACTTGGACACACCTTACTTTTCTTATTCCCATGATAAATATTTTTAATTGTTTTGCCACTGAAATGTGCTACATAAATTAAGACTGAAAATATTAATTAGATTAATCATGATTGATATTTAAAATATTGTTAACTAATTTATTAATCTATTCATCAGTAACTGGAGTAAAGAGACCCTAAAACATGCCTTCAGCTGATGGAGAAGTAATTATACCAAAATCATAAAAATTTATATTTTCTTCAATATGCTGTATCCAGAACTCCACTAGTGGAAAGGTTTTCATAATCATAGTGCAGCCCTAATATAAATAGACTTTCCCTGCTTTACCTTACTGTTATAAACCACAACCAAAAGTTAAGATACCGTCTCAAGAGGCAGGATTTCCTGAAAAGTAGCACCTTAGGGCTAAAACAGTTATTTGGATTAATCGTGATTAATCAATTATTGAAATAAAGGTCAACTTATTTAGAAATCATTTTTTTTTTTCTATACAGACTCTAACACATGGCATTAGCTGAAGAACAAACCCACTCAGAGCAGTATTTAGCCAAAATTATAACGATGATTAAAACCTTTGTCATTTAAGATGGGGAAATAGCTTTTTATTTTGTCTGTGAATATGTTCTACGCAAAACACCTTAACAGTGTTTGATTCACCTGGCTTAAATTCAGCATTTAGTTTCACTAAGGCATCTTTTTTATCTGATTATTAATTGACTAATTAAAATAATAATTATATATATCTTCCATAATTATATTGAAAAAGCTGCTCTTGACACAATAACATTGTAGCTGTTTATAACAGAGCAAATTTGAAAAACGTTAGTGCTGCATGGAGGATTTTTATAGTATTTTAATATCTGTTTCTATGCTCTGTTCTGTCTTTGTCACTTCTATCCAGCGAGAGCGATGATCACATGGCTAGCTTAGTAGTAAGCTACAGTATGCTTATGATATTTACAATTTAAATGTAAACCATACTTAAATTGGTAAACAATAAATAAATAAAATCAGCTTTTGGATCGAACCAAGCAAGCGAAAATCAACATTTTTGACCCCCTCCTCCTTTAACCTCTCTTAATTTTTTCGTTTGTAGCCGACCACAATCATCGCTTGAATCTTTTCTACCTTGCCAACGATGTGATCCAGAACTGCAAAAGAAAAAACGCCATTGTGTTCCGCTCGGCTTTCTCCGATGTCCTTCCAAATGCTGCCCTCCTCATTAAGTGAGTACTCTTATATTTTTTCAGCTCTTTTTTGCATCTAAATGTTTGTGTGTTTTTTTGCAGGTAAGCTATGAAAAATAAATGTATTTCTGTTTGCTGAGATTTCTGTGTTTTCCTTTGGTAGAGATGGAAAAGTCCGCAAATCGGTTGAAAGGATTTTTACCATCTGGGAGGAGAGGAATGTGTATCCGGAGGAGGTGATTTCCCAGTTCAAAGCCGGCTTGCACAAAAAAGAAAAAGAGCGAGAGAAGCAAAAGGAAAAGGAAAAAGAAAAAGAAGAGCAGAAAGAAAAGGAGACTCCACCAGGAAACGGTCAGTATCTCAGCTTTTTCATTTGAATTTTTTAAGTTGACCATATCCAGACTGTTTTCAGTGGTGCTTGAAAGATAATAATTAATCCCCACTTGACTAAACTATAATCTGGTTTCTTTATCTCCCATTTAATTCTTTTCTGATAATTATATTCCATCATGCCTAATACTTATTCAATTGAATTTGATTCAGTTTATTTGTTTTGCACCAACAAGTCATCACAATGAACTTTAAAGAGAGACAATTCAATTAAGTGATAAAGTCCAATTGGTTCAAATTTTCTATCTAAGAAAGCCTGCTGATTGTATGGAGTCATTGACTTTGCAGGATTTGCTATTCCTAGATAAGCATGTGGCGATGGTAGATATTGGCTTGTATTGTGTAATTGACTCCTCAGCAGTCCCTCACACCAACCATGCATACAGCGACAGTCAGGAAGAAAACCTGCTCTGTAATAGGAAGAAACCACCAGCAGAACCAGATCTGTTTGAGCAACCCTCTGCTGATGCTTATTTGGGTTTCAGAAGACAGAAACAGACATACAAATTGAACATGGAATCACTGATCCATGTTTTTCTGTTTTAGAAAAGGTAACTGTAAACTAGCTGTCTCTGTCTAGGAAAGAAACAGTCATGTCTCTCTCCAGGATGGTGTCACAGCTAAACAGAACACCAGCCTAGATTAAGCTACTATGAACAGAAACAGCAGAGAGAACATAAAGCTCGGAGATAATACAAGATAGACTGATAAAATGTGGTCACTATATCTTCCAGCAGCCTGTGCCTATAGCAGCATAAATATAGAGATGGCTCAAGATAACCTGATCCCTTCTAACTATAAGCTTTACCAAAAAGTTAGTTTTTAAGCCTAGCCGTAAACGTAGACAGGGTGTGTCTGCCGCATGGACTAAAACTGGTAGTTGGTTCCACATGAGAGGAGCCTGATAACTAAAAGATCTGCCTCCCTTGTTACTGTTAAATATTCTAGGAACCATTAGTAAACCTAGGCACTGTGTATGTTTGTGTATATACAAATATATGTATGTGTGTATACATATATATACATGAACATGTTAGCTATAACTGTATAGGATGTATATGTATAATATGTGTATGGATGCAGAAAACCGTCCAGTATACTTGACAATGAGAGTATTAAATGAAAAGTAAGATCTTTGTGTTTAAATAATGGAACCGTCCATCCAGGCTAGTTTACATCACAGTTTATATAGACTACACTTAATTGTTGCTGAAAGTTATGTTTAATACAATAGATTTTTTTCCTTATTGTTTATCTTTTTTTTTTTTTTTTTTTTAATAAAATTGTTGCTTGAATATTGACACATATAAATATTTTTAAAAAGCTCTACCCTCATTGTGGATTAGAAATGTATATATGTATGTAATTTTGTGTCTGATCTTTAGCTACAGCCAGTTTAAAAGCAGTCAGCAATAAAGCTCCAAGCACTAAAGCTGCACTGAAGTCCAAGATTGTTGCAGAGTTTACAGTAAGCCCCCTTTTATTCCTGTTGGTGGAAGTACCACTAATGACATTTAACTGATACAAAATGGACTTGGGTATGTGTTTCATCTTTATTCTGTTGCACTTGCTATTTCCTAGCCTCACTCCCTTATTGAGCAGCTGTCCAGATACAGGCAAGCTGCTGCTGAGGAGCAGATCAGAGAGAAACAGCTGGAAACTCTCAGGGTGGACGTCTGCAGCACAGAGGCCTTCAAAAGACTTAAAGGTCGGTTGATTTATAGATTATTTCCTTGTCATCAAAATTCTATTTTTTTCTTTTTTTAGTTTCATCTAGAAACTTTATCATAATTTATTTTAGATTTCAATACTATTTCCAATAGTGATAAGTGGAAGAGATTTAAGTATTGATCTTATTATATGCATCAACTAAACATTTGGGAGATTCTTTTATAAATAAACAATACATCCTTTGGTTAAAGGTTTTCACTCTGGTCTTACTTCTGTTTATTTATCTTTATTTTTAATGGAAAAACAAAATTTGAAAGAGGGGAAAAAAACCCTGTATAAACAAAATTTGACTGGATCGTAAACACAGTGTAAATTCTTTACAGGATGATTGGTAGGCTTAACAGAAACTTGTAACTTTGTGGTTGTGTTAGTCACAACTTTTCCACTATGCTTAATTTTAGGCCAAAGTATCAAATCTATTTGCTGCTTTGCGGCTGTAGCAACTCACTTTTTGTACGCTTTTCTTTATTTCCTAGTTGTGTTGCTTCTTCATACATGAAATGATTAATATATAGGTGCAAAAAAATCATAAACTGCCAGTTAAAGGATGGTGAGAAGACTGCAAGATAGAAAAATTTTGGCATGTACTGTGATCTAAAAATGGCTTCATCCAATAATTAAAGTGCTCTATGACTAAGTAAGTAATCAAGTTTATTTATATAGCAACTTTCACAGAAAATGGTCACAAATGGCTTTACAGTTAAGTAAAGTACATGAAAATACAGATACTTACATTCACCATCCCAGTGGGAAAAAGATCAAATTAATTTTAAAAATATCTTAGAGGTTAAATTAAGTAAAAATTAAGTGGACACTGTAATAACAAATGCCTGTCTTGGAAGCTTTAGCAGGTTTCTTAAGGAAAGTTTAAATCTTATTTTCTCAGTAGAATAATCTTGAAATTACCAGAAATGTTATTTGGACTGTTTTAGAGAACTTTAAATTGTATTTTTAAATTGAGCTGATAGAAGTTAGAGGCAACCAAAGCCATATAACATCTCTGTAGCTTGCTCAAAAAATCCAAAGCCACTTTATAATTGTACGGTTGGTGAAACTATTTTTCATGTACGTTCGAGGATAATCATTTGTTTTTGAATATTCAGAATGTTGCAAAAATGAACAAGCTAGAAATTAAAGTCAGGAAGTTGTGTTTTGTAATTATAAATGTGTAGGAACCCTGACAGTAATGCATGAATCACAGATTACCTGATTTTAGTTAAGAGATTATTCAGTAGAGCAGTTGGTCACCAAAAGTAATTGCTAGCCATGTAGAGTTAGAACATTTCCTACTACATAATAGCTGTTTTTTCTGTATATGAAGAAAATGTTCTGTTTACAGTGAAAGTTTCCCCATAGCAATTTAGCCTAACCAGATAAGAAAATCTTTGAGGGTTTTTCAAATGTTATTGCCTCATCAAAAAATAATCAATATAGCATTATTTTATTTTTCTAGGTTTGTTTGATACTGTGTGGCAATTTTCAATCTCTTTTTTTTTTTTTTTACTTTAACTAGACAAAGCAGGAGGAAATAAATTTGCCAAAGACTTTGAAGATGGATGTCTGAAACTGCAGGACTTTGTCAGCTTCCTGGAAAAAGAGCTAAAAACGGGACCTCCTCTGCTGGAAGCTCTCGGAAATGCAGATATCTTCTATGAAATGCAGTACAAGGAGGTTAAGATTGTCGCTAATGTAAGTTTTTTTTTTTTTTTTTTTTTTACTTATCATTGAACAGTTTGAAAACTAGAAATGAGGCAAAGGCAAACAAAGTGTCTCCTGAAGAAATCCAAGCAGCTGAAAAGAAATCAAATAAGAAAGGAAAAAAAACACACAAAACAGATGACCCAGGTTTTGGAGAATAAAAAAACACAGTGGCTCAGATCATACATGGTGCTATTATTTCTGAAGTCGAATCGAGTATGCATCAAAGCAGACTTGTCTGTTCTTGAGATTGAAAGCTGTCTCAGCATGCACTGCGACAGCAGCAGCTTTCAATGCAGCGCTCCATTGAAAGTTAAAAGTTCTCTTTTGTGTTGCTGTTGTTCAATACAAGTACGTTTTAAGATCATTTGAGGCGAGAATATAAAACTTTAAAGCGTCACTATATGGTCCATTTACCGATTTAATGCATAATTAAAAAAAGATTTCCAAAGCTGAGAGGACCGCGGCAACCAGCGGAGCTTCAAAGCTAACAGCAGCCGGGGCTTACCGCAGCCTGTCTATAGCAGCTCTCTCTCGGCATAGCCGTGTGTGAAGGACTGCTGGCTCTGATAGCGATTTTCTTTTTGTCAAAACGTTCATTTGATTAATGTTTATCTGACTGTGTTTATTATTATTCCCTCACTAAATGTAAAAAGTAATAATTTATTATTATCCAGAGACTATTAATAACAGGAGGTGAAATGCAGCTCTAGACGGGCTGAGCTTGTGGTAACGTCACGAGTACGCTTCTGTTCCAATTGACTCATTTCTATGCTGCGTTCTCACAAAGTCCAGACTTTTCTGTGTTCTTGCCAAGACCAGACTTGATGAGAACGCGAGTACGTACTCGCGTTCTTGTGAATTGAGAAACGGCCTCAGCCTGTCCCTGCTCGTTCTCCCTTGTGGGCATCTCCAAAGTACTGCTGTCCCACTCCTGTCTAGCGGTAGCCTCTCCCCCACCCTCCGTGTTCTGTGTTCTCAGCAGACTTATTAGATATTTTGTTGTTCTTTGATCCTCGAGCAGTTAGCCTAGCTAGCCTTGATCAGTTGTAGCCTCTCCCCGCCCTGGCACTGTTTCCCCGGCGCACTAATCAGAGCTTCTGCTCAAGCTGCCTTATCTCCCCGCCCCTGTGCACTCTCTGCCCAGTGGGCTCTGTGATCTACTGCTGTGGTTCCTTAGTTCCAGAGGGGAGCGTAGCTGGCTGCCAGTGTAGGTACCAGATCTGCTTGGGCCATCAGATCTGCTCAGGGCCCTGCCCCTTTTTATAATGTCAACATATGGCAACTCCACTCAAACTGTATTGCACCCGTTTCTTAAAGATCAAATCTCTTTTGAATTCTCAACATATTATTACCTTTATTTGCTATTGTTTTACATTTCATTGGCGATCTAAAGTAGAAAACAATCATTGTCAGTCTTGAAGGAAAGTACTTCGTTCTAAGACTGAGCTCTGTCATTTAACAAGGTGACAAAAAAGGCTAAGCTAATTTTTACTCTTTTTATTAAGATCTGAGGGCAGGGGAGGACAAATGGGACATCTTAGAAAATGGCTTTTGGTAAAGGTTTTAGACAAGTATAACAATTATTCTACTTGTAGAAAATGGACGGTTGTTGTTGACACAAATTTAGAAGTAGCGTAGGTTACAATTGCTAAGGATAAGCTTAAAGAGGCTAACCTGTTAGCTACTGAACACAGTTAGCCACAGCACTACCCAGCTATTCCCCTTTATATCATGGTCTTGCAGTTAGTTTGTTCACCATAAACAGGATTTTTTTGTTTTGTTATCGATCAGTTAAAACTTCATTTGTCATTAGACACGTTAACACTAAAGATGCTCTCAACTCTGCACACTGACGCTGCGTGATGTTGTTATGGTTGTCTGGACAATCGCAATTTTTTACATCATGTGGCAATGTTCGGCCAATCATGTAGCGTAACATCACTGGCATGCGCAGGACCCGAGCAGATCTGGTACCTACATCGGTTACGGGCCTGTCTTAGCCGCTGTTCTCACAATGATTCCCTGCTGCTTCCGCTTGAGCTTTGAAAGCCATCTCCCCTTCCCTTTGTTGTCTGGGTGATTTGTTCTTTTTATTTCTAAAATGATCAAAAATACGTTTTAACTGTAAAAATATATACTTGAAAGCTATAACCTCTGTCATTCTGATAGAAGACTAACTTTCCAATCGGAGAAAGGAGATTCATGGTATTCTTCAAGTTTTATTTAATAACCATTAGTGTTAGTAGTGTTTATGAATTATAGGACAGCTGATTTAACAGATGTTAACATGCCTTTTGTTTCTTACATCGACTCTTTGGATTCCACCTTCTCTCCAGGCGTACAATGCCTTTGCTAACCGAGTAAATGGCCTCAAAAAGAAACTGGATTCTCTTAAGGCGACACTATCTGGGCCAGAGGACTCTCCCATCCCTTCTCCCTCAGAAGATGCTCCCTCACCCACTGGGTCCGACTCACCCTTTCTGGAAATGGAAACCACCAGGGCCAAGGTGGATCCAGAGCTGGATGGCAAGGCTATGGATGAAGCAGACCTTCAAAACGACAACAGAGACATGGAAGACATGGATATGTCTGACGAGGAGGTGTGCACTGCTGCCTCACAGGGTAAGTTCTCCTCTACACACAATGTTTTGTTTTGATTTTTTTCCCCGATGCAACCAAAAAGATGTGTAGATTCCAAGGAGGTTTTTTATTTATTTACATTTTTTTTTAAATATAATTAAGTTAACAATTAGGAAATGGAAGTAGTGGTTATAAACTAGCTTAGCTTACAGGATGCAATAACAAATACTGTTTACCTATTTTGTATTCTCATAGATGACAAGGACGATGAGCCACCTGTGTCTATTTCCAAGACAAAGTCCGATGCAGCATCAAAACCTCAGAACGCGCTTACAAAACCATCCAAGCCCAGCCCTTCTGCTGTCACCACGGCAACCACAGTGACTCCTGTCCCGGCAAAAGCAACAGCTGCCCCCACCACCCCTCTGGGAGTGAATCTGGCCAAAGTGGACCTGGGGAAGATCAGCTCCATCCTCAGCTCGCTTACATCTGCCATGAAGAACACAGGTGGGTTTAGGAGGGGTCATCGTTGGTTTTATGATGAAAAATAATAACTGCACAATGAGATACTTTTCATATATTTTAAGGTTAATTTACTTTCTAGTGGAGAGTTTGATGGCACAAAGAAACTTTATGCTACTGTAAACATTATGGCAAAGACATTGAACCTACTAACATCCAGAAAGTATTCACAGCTCTACTCTACACATTTTTTACAGCCTTATTCCAAACAGTATCAAATAACAGTTTTTTTTAGATGTTTCTTGTTTTTATAAAAATAGAAAACTCTGAAGTTACTTTTAGGTAAGTATTTACAGCCTATTTTATGAACCATTAAATTGAGCTGAGGTACAAGCCTACTGTTCCTGCTGATCATCCATGTTTCTACAGCTCATATTGAGACCAATATTCTGTAAATTCACTTGTTTAAAGATGATTGGGAAAGACGCACACCATTTTTTTATGCAAGATGCCACTTAAAATGACGTCAAAGGAATCGTCTTTAGACCTTAGAGACAGGATAGCCTTGATCAACAAATATAGGAAGGATAGAGAAACATTTCTGCTGCTTTAAGGTCCTGATAAGCACAATCGTCTCCATTATTCACCAACCGTCTAAATTAAGCAATAGGGTAAGAAGAGCCTTAGTAAGGAAAGCTTTTGTCGGGATGGCTGGACAAAAGCTGCTCCTTAATAAATAAAGTCTAATGGGCAACCCATCTGGAGTTGGTCAGAATACTGCGGAAGGACTCAGACCTCGACAAACCAAATTCGATGGTCTATTAAGACAAAGTATAAACTGTGAAGGCTAGGCTTCATGTTTGGAGGAAACCAGGCATGAGACATTACCAGGTATAATGCCATCCCTACAATGAAGCATGGTGGATGTAGCATCATGCTGTGGGGCTGTTTATAATTTTATGAAGAATGGTGAAATAGTCTCATGGAGTTCCAAGAACAGTGCTGACCTTCTTTATTTTGAGCTTTTTGAAGTCACTTGCTCTGATGCTTGAAATTTTAAATTTTTAGAATCTGGTTTTAGAAATATTGATTTGCAGCATACATTTAAATATCAGCTTTTATGTTGAAATTATTCTCCCGACAAATCAGTCTCTAAAGACACGCAAAGTGAGGCAGGCTGCTCTCAGGTAAGCCAAGTTTAAGATGCATAAATGCTACTTCTCAGTCTTCAGAGAAAAGACTGCAACAACAGTTTAGTGAACTGCTTTAAGGAATAAAACTTTCATTGCCAAGTTTCAGACTTGACACATGAAAATAGAACAGTGTGGTTTAAAACGGGAGATAAGCAACTTTTCTCTGAAGCTTTGTGATTAACACTTAGAAAGAAAAAATAAAACGTGCTCTATTTTTGTGGGTTTTTTCGTCTTAAATATATCTTTGAATTGGTATTTCAAAAAAAATATTCACTTTTTGATAATGTTAATGTAAATACAGTAGAATAGAAAATCCCTTTTTTGTCCCACAGTGGGGTAATTGTAGTGTTACAGCAGCAAAAGATTATAGCAAAAGTGACAAAAATGTGGACCTTTAAAAAGTGCATAGAAATAAAAGAAAAAGTGATAGAGTTAAGACAACTATACTGTGCTGCTGTAAGTATTGGGAACTTTGTCTGCTCTGCTGTTAGAAAGTAGAAATCATATTACCCTGATTGTTTGACACGTTATTTATTAAAATTATACCTAGAATAGATAGATTGTGGTTTACTTATCAATCTAGACTGTCTCTAATTATATCAGTCTAGACTGTCTGTAATTTCAAGATTATTCCCATTTTTTTTCTCTTAAGCACATTTCCAACATTTCTATACTGTTTGTTGAACCTGTAAAGATCAACTGATGATTTATTTATTAATAGGCTATAAACATTATTTTCTTAAATGAACATGGCTGGGTGGGATGAAGAATGACCTCTAGTAGCCTTCCATGTAGGGCTGGGCGATTATGACCTTAAATCAATATCACGATAAATTGGAGACTTTTACCCCGATGTTGATAAATGCACGATAAATGCTCCGGCTCCTCTCTTAGAGATAAAGGCTTGTGTAGGCCTGTCACGATAACAAATTTTGCAAAAAGATTAATTTATCGTGCGATAAACGATAATATTGTTTGAAGACCTTTTTACACTGATTTAATGGAAATGACGTAATAATGCATGCATTTTCCTGCCAAAGATAAACACACTTTATTTTCAACAGAACACTTAACACTGGAACTGGTTAACAAAATAAAACGAGAAATAAAAATTAAATGGACTCTCAGTCTCTGTTAACTTAAAATACAGTTGAATAAAAACTAAACACAAGATAAAACCACAGTGAAAATAAAAACATATATACAAAATATCACGTTGGTGATATGTATGTTTTCTGCGGAATTCATACTGTCTATCAAATGTCTGGAACATTTTTCGAAATGCCGGCTTTTCAACAATATTAAATGGAAGCATCTCTTTAGCAATTAAATGAACTACGCTGTCTGTGAGCGCGCGCCACTTTGCGCCGTCCTTTTTGTATGCTGCCTGTCGATTAATTGCTTCAGTGATGGTGGACTGTCGCAAACTTGAAGACACAGACGGGCCACCGCTTGTACTTTTTGCTTCCAGCTGGAGAAACTTTGCTGGGCGGTTGTGCTTAAGGTGCATGTGTAGGTTGGTTGTATTGCTGCTCTTATTTGCTACTGTTTTATGACAAATGCGACATACTGGCTCACATAGGTTCAGCGGTTCGCCTTGGTCATTTGGTTTGAATCTGAAATACTCCCACACTGCGGCTGTTTCGCTCGGCTTTCAAACCAGTTCCATTTCGAGCTTTTTCCCCCCCAAAATAGATATGTTTTTTTTTTTTTACCTCGCTATCTCCTCTAACTCCTCACGGGGCTCTAAAGCTGCAGAAGTACAAAATGATGCGCGCTGACTACGTGACGCGATAGTCCACTCCTCCTCCCTCCTCAAAAATAAGGAAGGGGAGAGGTCAGTAGATAGCACCGGAGTTAAGCCTTTTCATCCAGCCTCATCAATAGGAGAAAAACACAGGCAGAGACGATATAGCCGATAAATTAAATGAGGTGGATAATTTTTATTTATCGTGCGATTTATTGATTATCGCGACAGGCCTAGGCATGTGCGGGAAATGCAACTGATCTATTTTTAAGTTACTTATTCAATAAATTGGCTCTGATCATCTGTTCTTGCAGCACCTACTCCGGCTCCTCGACCATCTCCTGGAACGCCCACCACCCCTACAGGCCAAGCCACTGTCTCCAAGGCAACCCCTCCGAGTCCTGCTCTGGCTAGCATCCTGTCACGAGTTGACATAACCCCTGAAGGGATACTAAACGCTCTGTCTAAAACTAACACATCAGGTTGGATGCATCTTTTTATTAAATTGTATTATTTATGAATATACAGTTTGTAAAGATATTCACTGTTTTTTATTTTTTATCATTTCACCTAGGTTTATCATCTCTACTTCAAAGTGTGACCCAGACTTCTGCCACTAACTCCAACAGAACCTCCCCAGAATCAACAAGTGTCAAACCCCCAGTAACCCCAACCACCCCAAAGATTAAATCCCCTCTGCGAAATAGTCTCAAACAAGAGGAGCCAGTTAAAGCCAGAGACTGGGAGAAGGATAAGCGGCTCTCCCCTCCTCCACCAGCTCCTCGTTCTTCAGCTCCCTCTGTCTCTCCTCCCAGCTTAGAGTCCAAGATCAACAGTTTCTTGCAGGGTAATCCAGGTTTCAGCCTAGCCCTGGGTGATGCTAGTCCTGATGGGGTTGATGGCACCCCGGTGAGGGACGAGACGGCTGGGACCCCGACGCAGGATGAGATCATGGACACTCCCAGCGGCATGCCAGACTCTTTGGGTTCATCCGGAAGCCACAACCTCTCACCAACAGCCTACCGCAATGATCCTTGGGATGCTGCAGTCACCTCTTCTGGAAGCAGCAACAATGGAGACTTTCTTGGCTCCTCCTCTAGATTTGGTGCAGGAAAAAGGAGCAGCAGTAAGTTAAATGAAGAGGAATTGATAAGGAGGCAGAAGTCCTCTTCCCCTGGCAGTGACTTAAAGGGTAAGAACAGTAGAGCCATGGGAGAGCGGAGAGTCTCTGCCAGCTCTCGGAAGGCGAGCACAGGATCCGATGATGGAAAAAAAGAAAAGGACAATGGTAAAGAGTTATCAGCAGGAGATGCAAAGGAAGGTCAGTACCACCGCATTGAGACATTGGTGTCACCCCACACTGAAGGGGCGCCAATCCAGACTCTGGGCTACTCAAACCGTGCACCTGCTGGAGAACGAATCAAGACAGTTGAGAGCATCCGTGTCATTGGCCGAGGCTCTCGGCGAGGGGGAGGAGCTGGGAATCGGCCAGGTGCTTCGATGTGGTACAAAGAGGAAGAATACTTGGATGGTCAGCCTCCTTCACCACACGTTATACCCCCTCCTATTAACATGGGTGGTAGTGAAGACCTAAACCCCTCAATGCTTCCTCCACCCCCTCCTCCTCCTCCCCCTCCTCCTCCACCACCTCAGACTCCATTCCCAATGCCGTACCACACTGAAAACATGCAGACTCCTCCTCCATCACTCCTCCAGCCTCATCTTCCTCCTTCATCTCCCTCTTTTACTGCTGTTCCCCCGCTTCCTCGACTGCCCCCGCCACCACCACCTCCTCACCCTGCTCTGCCCCACAGCGTGATGGTGGGGGGAATGTTGGTCCCTGTGGATCTTCCATTGTCTGCGCCCCCACCTCCTCCTCACCCTGCTCTGCCCCACAGTGTCATGGTGGGGGGAATGATGGTCCCAGTGGATCTCCCAATGTCTGTTCCACCATCCTTTAGACCTGAGGGTGCAGAGCGTGGCAGGATGGGGCACAGAGGACAGAAGATGACCCCACCACCACTCATGTCATCGCTGCTAGGCGAGCACCCTAAGCTACCCCGTCCCGGCACAGTCAAAGAGCCTTTAATCCCTCGCCATACACCCCCTCTCCACCGCCCAGGTACGCCTGGCATTCCTCCACCTCTACTCGGCAGAGTGAAGGAGCCTTTGATTTTACCTCTCCCCTCACCCACATCCTCCACCCCCTCTCCCTCCACGCCCAATTCCCCTGCAGCGGACCACGCCGCCCCTAAAGCCCCACCCAGTCCTCCAGCTCAGCCCCACAACCCAAACTCCAAACCCGTCCCCCTCCTCAACCTACCCGCTTCCCGACCCCCGATCCTCCCCACCCCCATGCAGCAGAGACCCCCGCTGCGAGGCCGAAGCCTGTCTCAAGACCATCCCAGAGGTGGGTTTCATGGAGGGAAGCGATCCGGCCCCCCGTTCCCCGGCGGTCCCTTCCATGCTCAGAAGAGGCCTTACCTACCCCCACGCTACTGAAGTGGCTGACTATGACAAGCTGAATGAGAAGTGCAAACCACACATCTAACAGTGCAGTGTGTGTTAGCCCTGCTGGTATGAGCCCAGATATCTTTACTCTGTTACTTAAGTTGAAGGAAACCTACCTTAGGTTGTGTGTAAATAGCTGAAAAAGTCTTGATTCTTCGGCTGTAGTGGCTGCTCATTTTACACTCTACTCACAGGTCATCAGTTGCATAGTGCAGTCTTGTATAACCTGCTAGCTTCCATTATTCCGCTTTAACTTTTAACTACACCGTGAATGAAATAACCGCAAGAATAAAGCACATAGTTCAAGCAGATGTTTAATTACAGTTTTCTATCTCTGTGATTCTGGGTTATTTCCCCTCAGATGACCAAAGAAAGAATTGATTCTCATGGGAGAGCAAAAGGTCCCCTAAATCAATAGCTTCATATTTTTAATAAGTATAGGTATTTCCTCTCTTGCTCAGCCTTACACAAGAAGATTACCTCTCCTACAACCCAACCTGGTTTGAAGCTTTGCATAAAGATGAGGATAACACTGGATTACAGTTCTCCCTGAAGAAACTATTTCCGTTAGTTTGAATATAGAAGAAAATAAACTATTTAGTCAATTTAAACTTGAGCAAGTTTGCTGTTTGCCTCTTTGAACTCTTCATGCTCAGCTAAATTGATACCCTTTTGTCTGGCTTTATCTGAAAGGAAAAACTTAAATTAATAAACTGTAATTTCCCTAAATTTTGTCTAAATGTTGGCCTTAGCAAATTAAATCAAACCATTTTCAAGGTAATCTCTTTTTAATGCAAGGGCGTACATCGTCCTCCACATTCGGCAAAGATGAAGTTGTTTCGGAGTCTGCAATTACTCTGTTAGGAGCCATATTTTCACTGAAAGTTTGAGAAAATCCTAGTCTTGGCTTGAATCATATGTATTTTTATTCAAAAATTTTAGAAAAATAACCAGTGCCACTGTGTTTGGTTTACAATTTTTATTTGAAATATTTTTCACTCAGCCAATCAAAATGAGGAACATAAAATGACATGGTATCTCAGTCCAGGCTCCTAGAAACTCGCTCAAACCTTAAAGCCAGGATGGTGAGGTGGAACCAAGCTAATCTTGTCAGCATGCCCAGTAAAAAATAAAAAAAAGCAAATAGTCCAAAAACTCTGTTTAAACTGCACCAGTTGGGGAATGAGTCTTTTTAGCGACTTTATTTTAAGGCTATTGTACACATCTTAAGCAGCGATGCCAATAACAGTGGCTAGAGCTAGATGCTGTGAATCTAAAAATCTAAAACCTGCTATTTTCTTCTTTGAAGTGATTTTTTTTTTCCCTACAGGTGAATTTAACGCTTGTTCTGATACCTGGAATACCTGCTGTACAAATTCTTCTCTTGCTAAACCTTTTTGCATCCATCTATTGCTCCCTCTGTATATTTCTGACCTTGTAAATATAAAGAGTGACTGAGTTGATATACAGTTTTTTTCTTCAAGCTTTTTTTCTAAAAAGAAAAAGTCAAATGATCATTATATATATCTCACTTTCAATGAGGTTGAGGTATTTTGAGAAACTTAACACTGAACTTTTTTTTTCCTGCAATGATTTGCATAAATTACTTTCTATCCCTTTTAAAACCCTTAAGACAAGTGTTGGGATAATTATGATCTCTTGTCATGGACCTCAAAGTCCACCTGTGTCCTTTAAAAAAAAACTTGGTTCATTAATACTGAGCAGCAGAAAGGGAAAGAAGCATTAGGTTGGCCTACTCTACCACTATTGCTACGGTTCACAGTGTTTTAATTTGAATAAAATCAAGAGTTTAATTTGAGTAATAAGTCATTTATCGCTTGAATTAAATCATGTAATCGGGCTACATTTAGATAGGAGTAATGTTATGGTAGCCCAGTGGCAGATATTCACACATTTCTAAAATGATTCTGTCTTTTAGTGCAGTAGCATAATCCTATACTGTCAATTTACCAATTAGACATTTCATTTTAGTATTCAAATGATTGAAACAGAACTAGTGGCACGCATCCCTAAACCAGTTCTTTTAATACTTTAATCCTCTTTCTTTCTCTAATAGTGTTAACTTTTCACATCTGTGAATCTTAAGATGAAGGAGCTCTCAACCGTTCATCTTTACACCAATTCAAGACTGAAAAAAGCAAATGACTTCTGTTAAAGTCTTTGTAGAGTTGAGCAATGTCCATTTGTTTGTTTTGGAAGGATTGAAATTTGCTTTTCTTTTACAGCACTCCTTAATAACCCAGTAGAATATAGATGATCTTTAATGGTGTTTATGGAAAACAGGTTACCCCTAATGTTTTTTATTTTATTTCCTTTTAAGACTATTTGGCTCCTGGGTAAGTTAACTATGGGTCAAAGTCCAGTTGCTAAAACATCTGGGTCTCATTTATACCCCAAGGCAACAGGAAGTTATGATTCAAAATGACCTCCGATTAACTTGAGTTGCATTCAGTTATAAGGTCTTATAACTTTATAACTAATTAGGAGCACCAACAGACAAGGCAAAGTGATTATGTTTAGAAGAGGGAAAAAAACTTATTTAAATGGACCTTTATTCAAAATAAGTGTACTTGAAATAAAGGTTTGGTTACTCTTAATGTGTCAGTATAAGGTTATGCTACAGCAGCGACAGCTGAATTTAATGGAAGACTTTTGCTGTATTTTTCATTGCATATACACAGGTTTCACAAATTTGTTTTTCTCCCAGTATTTATGAATATATTTATATATATAAATCTTTTTTTCTTTCTGTTGCTCAATTTTTCTGCTTCCAGCCCCTGTTATTTCTCAAAGCGCTCTCTGCACCTCTTGTTCATCAGAATGTAAACAAAGTAGTATTTCTTCCGGTTCTTCAGGAGTTGTTTCAAAGATTTAATCGTCCGTAGCCCCTTATGAGAGGCCCAGATTTGTGTGCTCTAAGCCCTCTTAGACCCTTATCAGATCTTTTTATCTGTCTGCAGATCAAGATTAAATACTGATTGCTCACAATTGCTTCACATTCTGCATGAAATTGATGATAGGCAAGTTTTAAAATGTAATCAAAGTGTTACCACAGTGTTCACAATTTCTGTTTCACTCCACTGCTAGGATTGCTGTACAGTCACTTCTGCAGTTAACCCAGCTAATCTACCTTAGAACGGTTACACTACATTAAAGGTCTGCAGGGTTAGTTTTGAAGTATCTGCAAGCTAACATGTTCAACTTCTTTATTTAATCTTTGTAAATGTTTGTTTTTTCCTTCTTTTCACATCAAGATTTTTTTTATTTAAAAAAGGTTGTTTGATAAATGACTGAAGATGTACTGAAGCTGATGGTCTGTATATATATTTGACAAATTTAACTGCTGTTCTCATCAATGATGCTTATATTACTGGTCTTTGAGTGTCCAGTCCTTTCTGTTGTGGTGAACATGCACACATTCTGCAGCAGCTCTGTTGCCCTCAATACAAGATTAACTTAAGCAAAATAGATATTATTATTTTATTTTTTTTACTTTTAACCATATCCTAATTCATTAGTGTCTTTTAAAAAGATCTCTTTTGAGTGGATTTGCAATGGTTTTATAAATGAATTTGAATCCACATTTTAGCCAGAACTATTTGAGCTTCAGCTGCACCAAAGCTTGACCCTTCTTTAACTTGATGTTTTCTGTTGCAATGTTTGGTGACTGTTGGATTTGCACTTACTTTAAAAAAAAAACAAAAATAAGTTTGATATAAAGCGGTAGGGAACTCTTTGTTTGGGTTTTTTTGCAACCAACTTTGGCCATGGCATTGATGTGCGTTTAAATTTTATGTTCTAGCCCTCCTAACTTTTTATGCATTTTTTTTTCCTTCGAGACTCAAATTTTAGCTTTTTTTTTTTTTTNTACAGATGCGTTTCATAACGGCTCAGCTGAAGCTCATAAAGATGCTGAACACGTAGTACCCGTTTTGAGTTAAACTAGTAAATATCAGTGAGTATATTAATGATTAAGCGTTTTAAGGAACCTAAAAAATAGGATATATTCCAAGTTTTTGATGTCCTCATTTGGTTGCACTTTACACCCTTATAATGCACTAGCACCCCCATGTGGCAGACTGGCGGTACTTCATCTTAAAGCCAAAAACTTAAAACTTAAACACACAAAATAATCGGTAGAGCTTCATTGGGATGGCTTTCATAGTAATGCTAAACACAGACTTGTATCATATAAATATTTATTTTTCTTAATAATGTACGCCATTTTATTTTTGTGTATTTTAAAAAGACCGCACATGGGTGATTGGCGCTCTCATATTAAGAAAAACATTTATCAACATTGTAGATGTAGATGAAAAAGGTGGCTTATTTGGGGGGCGTCGATGTTAGAAAACTCCAGAAGATTTAATTGTTAAATGAAGAGGACGGCACATAAACCCCCCTATCAGCATTGCTATCAGCCTATATGCGGCAGTTTGGCGCATGCGCAAAGACGTGTATCAAGTAACGGAACAAAATTAATTACGAACATGTGATATTTGAGCTTTTAGTTATTGGTGTTCACAGCTATATAGTACTATGCACTTCATCGGTCTGCCTTTGCAGAACATTTCTGTCAGGGAGCGCGCGCTACAGGGAGCGCGCACGTTGATTCCGAACCTGCGTCACAACTCCAGACACTAACGGACGTCACCGCGGTTCTGCTAATTTCGTGTTTCCTGTCATGGCCGCTTGCATAGGTTGAAAGAAACGAAACATGTCTATACAGTAACCCTTTGATAGGCGCAAACGGGATGGCGGTGACTCGGCTGTTTAAGCTGGTCATCAGTAGGTCAACACTCCACATACGCAGGAGATACAGCAAGGTGCGGGGAGTTGTTATAGCTACAAGAAGCTAACTCATGCTAGCGTTAGCCTAATTGACAGTCTGTTTACTGTATGTATGTGACATGCCAGGAGCTTCAGCTGATGTCAATTTAAAAATTTTGAGGGAAAAAAGTTCTTAATATGCTTTAGTAATCATGATTTGAAATGTAATTCTCAATACTTGCAAACAAGTGTGTATGTGTGTGTGTATATATGTTATAGCTGTGTATATATATGTGTGTGTTTGTGTATGTATATGTATGTATATATATATATATATATATATATATATATATAT